GGATGGGCCCCGTGGCGATGCCACCAGCTCGGTCCTGGACTGCGTTAGCCAGGGCACAGCCGGGAGGGTGAGCCTGGGAGTTGCTCTCCGCTGGGCACTGGTGAGGCCGGAGCCATTGGGTGTCCCTCAGCCCAGTGTGGGCAGTGGATGGGCCCGAAGGGCAGCTGTCCAAGGAGAGGCCAAGAATTGGTCAAGCCTGCAGGATGCAAAGTGGGGTTAGACAGGAGACGAGGCCAGAAGAGGTGCCCCAGAAAAGGAGAAGGCCATAGGGCACCCTGCTGCAAACCTTCTCCTACCCCGTGGCATCTCCAAGGGAGCGCGAAAGGGCTGAAGGGGGAAGAAAAAGGGTAGAGAGGGTCTAGGGGAGACCACATGGGGCAACCGCAAGCCCAGGAGGACCCCAGTGGCTGCTTCACCGTAGATTACAGCCACACAAAGCCCATCTGCCCAGCCCCGAGCCCGGGGGGGTGTTCCTGCCGGGGCTGAGCGTGGATCGTGCATGGAGGAGGGAAGGCAGGGAGCTACGGATGCTGCAGCCTTCGGGCGTGTGGGATCCCTGGACAAGCTCCTGGACAACCCACAGCTCCAGTCCCACAACCCATCCTTTCCCTGCTCTCCTGACTCCTACATCACTCAAAAGTGCAAGCAACTTCTCTTGCTTAATTAACCCTTCGTTATTGCCAAAGGGATCTCTGTCTACACCACTGGCCAACCCAGGCAAGTTGGCAGCTGAGGAGGCTCCAAGCGTGGTGGAAGTGAGCAGTTACTTGGAGTAAGGACCTTGCTGTTGCTCCAGCTGGGAGGAGGCCTGGGTGGATGAGGAATGGGGCCAACTCTGTGGGGTGGACCCGGACCTACGGGTAGGAGATGCTCCTGTCCCTCCTCCGACGAAAGGCACTATAGGCCAGGTGGGATGGAACGGCTCCCAGGGAGGCCAAAAGCGAAGCCAGGTTGCTTCCCTCCTGTTCCACCCCGTGGAGCCACCAAACCTGCTGCAGAGCCGTGGGGAAGAGCACGGCCTGGACGTAGCCTACGGCTGGCCCCAGGGTCCTCTCCCCTACCAGTGGTCTGCACTGGTCTGCAGTGGCGGGGGGCACCACGCAGGGTTCCTGGGCGCGATGACATGGTGCGGAGGTCTTCCTGGACCTCGGTGAGAAAGGCCTGAGGACAGATGGAGCGATAAAATACCTTTTTTCATGGCGCAGCATGAAAAAGAGGAATATAGATCACAAGCGACCCTTATGCCCCTTCGGACGCCGGGCACAGCTCCACAGACAGGACCGGCGCAGCGTCCCGTGGGAAAACCTGCCCGGGGTGCACCCTGCTGCGGGAAAGCGCTGCGCCCTGCCTCCGAGGGGATGCCAGATCTGCTCGCTCTCCGTAGCCCCCTTTTTATTCCGTCTCATTAAAACTACTGGTTTATGACGCCACTTGTTGGAGCTTTCTCAGCGAGATTCAGAACGAGTCCTGCGCCGTCTCTTCTCCCCGCCCCGGCCGCAGAACATCACCCTATTTCGCAAGGACCGAGAGGAAGCCATTTCCCCATCAAGTGACCAGAGCCAAGAAAGAGAAACAAAAAGCCCCGAGAGCTTCTCCCCTGATGTGCGTAGGTTCCTAAGACCAGTTCATCACGGGTGCCCAGCCCTGGGCAGGTGGCTGGGACGTTCCGGTTCCAGTTCAGCCATCCCAGCCCTGCGACTCTGTCTGCAGAAACCCACGCTGCGGGACGGGCCGTGGTTTGTGGCAACGAGGACATATCAGAACCCACAAGTAGCCACCCAGCTGCTCAGTGCCTCCGGCCAGCGCCTTCCTCTGAAGAAGCTCTGCTTGAGCTGAGGACAGAGGGAGCCAAGAGGGACACGATGCTGCCCGTGACCCACGTGCTAGCCTTCGGTGAGTGCCAGGGGCTCCCGGTGGGCTCTCGGAGGGACACGAGGCGTCCGGAGACTCCACAGAGATGTTACACAGCCGTTTCTCTTGCAGGTGCTTGGCTGGTGGCACAGAGCAAGGCTACACCAAGTAAGTACCATGAGGAGGTAGATGGGGAGTTTGGATGCCTCTCTGGTCCCCCACCCATCTCCCAGGGCTCTTCCCCAGCCCCACACAACAGAACTTGTGTGGAGATGGGGCCTGGAGGGCAGCCGGGCGTTGGGGACTCCCCGCCTGGCTGGCAGCGTCTCTCTCTGTCTGCCG